TGCGATCACAAACACACACCCGCAAACACACACACACTCACACACACACACACACACACACACACACACACACACACACACACTGCATCCTCGCTCTAACGACACGTTGATAGCATTATAGGCATACAGAGGCAACAGCAAAGAGTAAATTCAGATTGGTGCTGCGTACAAAAGACAATGACTGACAAAATTACACACAGCTTTCTTTGACTTCGTCTGTGTCCACTATAATATTATAACAAATATTTGAGTTGCGAGTTTGTGAGATATGTGCTATATTTCATCTGTGTATATGTAATCTTATATTTCTTGTCCTTGTGATGTATGAATTTCCCAAGCGATAACATTTTAGTCGATTACAGAAATATAAAATCAATTATATTCATTACTGTGTTGGAACAAATAATGATTAGATGAAAGATCACATTATGCGGTAGCTCACCACTTACATTTTTTCTCACATAAACAGAAGGTCCTACCATTTATAATATGAAATTGTATGAATATTTGCAATGGGATGTATATTTTCTGTTGAAATAGAAAACTAACATAATCGAAGATTGATTTCGTATGGGCGGAAATAAAACCAAGGAACAGGAAATGCAAAGCAAATAAAAAGATAACGATCACAAAAGCCAGTGAAGTATCTCGTTATTTTCACATTTATATTTTTTCCTTCCGGGCAATGCCCTCCAATGGCTTATAAGTTTACCACCTTGCTTTGCTAAACTTATAATTTGGCCTATCTTTTCATTATCTGTAGCAGATTAAAATATAATAATATTTTCGAGGAAGGAGGTGGTCCGATGTCCGGTCATAAATAGACTAAAATACTGGCATAACTATTTTATTAAAAGATAACTTTTCGATCTGAATTTGCATGTCTTCTTAAGTACTGGAACGGATACAAAAGGATATATAAAGTTTTGAAAGTTACATATTATATAGATGAAAATTATAAAAAAGATGAATAAATTTATTGAAATTATAAACAGTAAGTACATTGAAATATTAAGAAAAATAGGCTATATAAATAGAGTAAGCTAAGTAACCAGATCCTAAACTGAAGTAAATAGATGATAACAATTGTTGTAGTATAATATATAATATAATATATGCAATTATGAATATACTCCTAAAAATCTCATGGAGAGATTGGAAGAAAAGGAAAAATAATGTGAAATAATGGGCACAAGGGATGTGAAGAAAAGAAAAGAAAAACAAAAAATAAATAAATAAGTAAATAAAATAAATGAAAATTAAAGAATAAAAATATGGACTTACAGGTGTGTTCAGCAAGGAGTTTCACTTAAAACACGGAAACTTGGGTAGAGTACCTTAGGAGAAATTTGCTGACCTGTTGAACTCGTTTCTAGGAAAATAACTTCAACTCTCCGCCACTATATCTTTTATATATGTATATATATATATATATATATATAAGTTAAGGTACGGAGCGGGACAGTATTAGCGTCAATACTAAAAGCATTGATGTAAGCAATCTCAGAATGTATATATAGATTATTATAAGGAACAATAAAGCAGTCTTGATTCCGACTTCATGCGTTTCATTTCGTGAACCTCTTCCTTTTTTTTTAATTGTTTAAAGTCCGTTACACTTAACTTATATATATATATATATATATATATATATATATATATATATATATACACATATATAATGAAGTTATATTCAATTAATAATAAGCAATAAAAATAAGTAAGAAGTAAAAAAAAAATAATATATATATATATATATATATATATATATATATATATATATATATATATATATATATATATATATATATATATATATATATTAATATTATTATTTATTATTTTGGTGCTATTCCATTTAATTTATTGCAACTATTGTAAGAACGAACCCTTTTTTCATTGTTACTTTTTTTTATTATTTGTTATTAATTAAATATTAACACAATCTGCTCCACTCAAGAGCAATAAGCATTACAGCTAAAAGTATTCACTCATACAATATATATACAAGAAAAATAAATTAAGAACAAATTAAAATTAAATAAAATAATCAATAAATAAAGCAAAGTAAATAAAAATGAACAAACAAAACATAAAATAATAATAAGTAGTAGTACAGTAATATATAACTTCTAAAATTAAAGGATGTTTATAAATAGATAATGGTTACAAAATCTGTAGATAACAAAAGTAATTTAAATGTAAATACAAATATTTAAAGAAAAAAATAAATAAAATAACTTAGTGTGCATCAATAATAAAAATTTGGAACATTATATATGATAGATAAACTCATGTCATAAATATGTTATTAAAGGACTTAGTATGTCTTTAATGATGTAAACATAACAAACAATTATCATTTAAATAAATTTATAAATAACTATTTTGATTTAAAACTGACTTACTTTACTGTCGTTATAAATCCATCATACATACAAATTTATTATGGATCTAATGTTTAAACATATAAAACCATTATTAGAGCATGAGATAAATCTTCCTGAACGTATTATAGAATTATAATGTGAATGGTCCAAGATATCTTTAAGGAGGACCCCACGACACGTGAGTAATCCTGACTTGATAGGGACCCAGCCGGGGCAGGTGATAGGAGAGCTAAAAGCCCTCCCAGGTCAATATGAGACGACCTAAGCCTTTAGGCTCCCTAAGTCCATTTTGTGTTGCCTTCCTCTCGATGATTCCAGACCTAGCTCGTGGTTAGAACACTGCTTCTATACCCAATACGACTTCTGTTCAGCAACCGATCAAGGAGTTGCTTTGTGTTTCATCGTCCAAGAACGATCGGATGTTTTTTCGTTAATATCATGAGTTAACGAATCGGAGGCAGTGGAGGCTTTATAAGTAATGTTTTTATTTATAATGTCTGTTACAAATGGCATCTAACATATAGAGTAATATATTATGGATATATGGTTTGACTACACCAGTTCACTCCAGGTATCCTACAGTGAAGAGTGTGACTTCAAGAATGTAACCGCGTGAGTAATTAGTCCAGAGAACCATGGGGTTTATATACCCAAGAATATCAAGGGGGTGAAGGGAAGTCGGAATAGGACGGCAAAGGAAGTTATCAATAGTTAATATTCTTAATATGAGGTCTGTGAGAAAGTGGCCTTTGGCTGAAATCGGTTATTGTTCCCTAAGTCTTGATAGTGGGTCTTCCGTCCCGTCAGTACATTCTAGAGAACTATTTCTAAGCTATCGGAGATAGCTTGACCTGGCTATCTGCTTTGTTCGTTTATCCTTTGAGTCCTGAAAAAATATAATATCCCAAATCATGATTCACCAATTGGGATATTTAACAAAATAAAAGTTAAATTAATATTATTATTACTATTATTATTTGTTACGGATTAAGTCCATTCCGTAACTATGGAAAACATAGGTTATAAAAGAGTTTTCATACAACTCTCAAGTCAAAAATTAATAAGAAATATATAGTAAAATTAAAAAAAGAGACAAAATTAACATTTTATGGATATGGGACATTCTTGAGTAGACTTGAGCGTCTTAAATACCAGTTAATAAATAATGCCTCACTGATTCATCTTTTCCAGAACATTCGCAATACAATAAATATAAAGATAGACCGTGATATTGGCTTGTGCCGAGTCGAATCCGACCATGGCAGATTAAAATTTATTTAATGGCAGACCCGTGGAATGAATCTCTACCTTCCCACCACGGTTATTTTTGGTAATTTTTCTATTGACTTCTGACCAATTTAAATCATACCGAATAGACTCCTACCACTTTCTACTCCATTCATTAGTTGATATCTTGCTTTATTCTATTACTTCAAATTTACATTTTTATCAATACAGATCTTAATATAAATAAATAAAGAAAAAAATTCTTGAATTTGAAATTTGACCTTTACCATGATTTTCCAGTTCTAAGTCAAACTCCTAGCTGAATAAACCTCCCTGAAGAAGACCTGCAAAGTCGGGTCGAAACTTTGGATTTTAATAAAATAGTTTTGCCACTATATAGCCTTTTTTAAGAGTGCCACCCCGGAGCATCTCCTTCTTTTATAATGCAACGGTTACCTTTTAAATATTCAAAAACAAAATTTCTTAATGGAGACTAAAAAATGACAATCTACCAGTTAAAAGCGCAAATTATTTCATTTGCCTCTTAAGTGTTAATTCAAAGAGCATGATTTTCAGTCAGTAATATATTACATCTTGGCAACTATTTAGTCGTGTTATTTTCTCGTATGCATGCTCTACAGTGATAAAAAGAAGTTAATATAAAAATGTTTAAAAAACAATTATTGTACAATAAAATTACCAACAATCAGTCATAATAACAGTGCTGTTTTGTTTAAGAATTATTTTGTAACGATGTTTTTACGAACATCTTTTTTTTTTGTTTTGTTTTTCACTGTGGAGTGTTAATATAAATATGATAAAGATTCGAAACGTCACTAAAATATGTATTCATTTATTTAACGATACCTTAACATCCTAACAAAATATATATTATTTAACAATAGTGACAACATAAATCAATATGTATATTTTTTCTTAGTGAGTTTTTAAAACATCTTTAATAAACGTTCAAGTGATACTTATTTTGTTACATGATAAGAACGATCATTGTTTTTGTTTTGTTTGTTTTTCAATTATTTAAATACAATTGTGAAACAAAAAATTGTTTCTATTTCTTTTTTCGTTAATTGTATTTTTCTATGTATTTATTGGTTAACCGCAAAACTATCTACATAATACAATACTTTCTTATCCAAACTTCGAATTAAAGAAATCTTTAAAATATCAACTTAGTTTAATTTGGTACTTGTCATATCATTTCGAATGCAACTGCTTCCTTGAGCAATTCACATTTTCTATCGTATTGCTGTTGTATTATTTTATGAAAAGAAAATATTTAAAAAAAAATTAAACGAAGTATAACAGGTTTTCGATTTCCGTTTGAAATATTAACCTCGGTCGTTGCCCCGATACTGTGAAGTGATGACTCCACGTAATCAATGCAACCTGCTGCAAGATCTGCAGCTATCAGTAGCGTCCTGATTGGAAAGAAAAATCAGGAGCGCGATAGCATTATTTTCTTCCTTTTTTTCACAAAATCGAATTATATTATGCATTTGACCGAGACCGAAGAGTTCGTATTTTTCCGAATATAAAATATTCCATATTTTTTATTAAATTTTTAAATCCAGGTCAAACAAAAGTTTGTAGTTCATAAGATAAATGCTACTGTACACGGAATGGTATCAGAAAAAAAAATTAAAATAACAAAGAAGATTTTTAAAATCAGATGTGTCTAAAAAAAAAAATTGTTTTTTTAGACATAATTTGAAATAATAATGCTTAGAAGTTACTGTTTTACAGTATTCCTCAACCTCAAAAGTATTTATTTATTGATAGTTTTTTTAAAACTTTTATATCTTCTAGACTACAGATCCTCACTTACGAAACAAACTACTAATCTACAACACCATACTGAGACCAATTTAGACATACGGGGCAGAATTTTGGGGTTCGGCGAAACAAACACACATAAACAAAATACAAACAACACAATCAAATATTCTATGAACAATTGTCAACACACCTTGGTACATATCAAATAACACTATACATAACGACTTGAAAATACCAACAGTAAAATCCTACATCCACGGCATATACACTTCGTTTCACTCTTCAATTCTGAATCACTTCAATCCATTAGTCCTTTCTATTTCCTGCTCCGTATTCCCTGATCGACGCATATTAAAATGACTATGACCGAGGGACCTACTACAATAAATACAAAATGTACCTAATCAAGAAAACTCACAACTAATCAGTAATATATCAAATTTGCTAGGTGCGCTGCAGCGTCGGTGCAAATGGCAGAATATGTTAAAACAAAATAAATAAAATTATTCTATTTTATAATTTATTTATTACGCCATAATACGTTGTATACAATTGTACCACATTCCTTTATTTAAATAATTAACCAACAGTATTTAAAGGACATTATAACAATATAAAAACTTAGTAAGATGGACAAATCCATAGACCTGTTTTAAACCAATGTTGAAATGGACTACTCCCTCGTTACAACTAACATTAAACATAATAATCACTTTTTTTTTTATCATTAAGATAACGGATACAAATACTTACCTATACGAGTAGGAATAAAATAAATTAATATATGTTAATATATTAATTTATATTATAATAAATTAATATTAAAACTCTGTTTTTAACGTTCGGACATAGGTAATGCTAGTCCGTAAGCTCATCATACCAACTCCTAAACTAATAAGTCAGCGGAGAAAATAGCTTAGAAGTAAAAATAACAAATGGTGGCGTAGTAGAAGTTTCGTACATGACAGGCGTTTTATCTGTAGTTTTCATCTTTATAAACTTCTACAACTCATTGCAAGTGGTTTCAGTTACAAACGAGAGTGCTGCTACCCACCTGGTTAAGAACCACAGGATTTTTTTTTTTTTTTATATTTGTTTATTTAGAAATATTACATTCTGTCACATCAAGGACATTTGTAATAGTGTTCAGAGAACACACTCACACTCTATTTACAATAAATAAAAAAAAATAATAATAATACAGAAACTTAATAATAATAAATACAATAAAATAAAATAAAAATAAATACAATAAAATAAAATAAATGTATATAAACAAAAGAACTAACCTAATCATACACACTCGGGCTTGAGTGGAGGATCTGGCCATTGCCAAAACTCCAATAGATGCTTATTTACAGAAGGTCTCTGGGCCACTGCCGCTTCAACCTTCGAGGAGGATTGTAAGGATGGGTGGTGCTGGATAGAGATTGTGCAAGGGGATTTGGATGATAGGTAAGGTTCTGGTGAAATTTGGAGAATTTTTCTGGAATAAGGTCTAGGACAAATGGGATATTAAGGTCATGGTGTAGGATTTTGTTATTTACATAGAACGGAGCATCAACTATTGTTCGAAGGACTTTAGATTGAAAGGATTGAATACGTTTGATGTTAGAAGCTTTTGCTGTCCCCCACAGTTCAAGTCCGTATGTCCATATAGGTTTCAGTATTGTCTTGTAGATAAGTAATTTGTTTTCAATAGAAAGTTTGGATTTTCTGTTTAGTAGTCTGTATAGCTGGCCGTATCGTCGGTTGAGTTCTTGTCTTTTGAGTCTAGTATGTGGGTTCCACGTTAGTCTTCGGTCTAAATGAAAACCAAGATACCGGACTGTGTCTGAGTAAGGAAGCTGGATGGAATTAAAGTGTACTGGTGGACAGGAGCTGCGTCGGAGTGTAAAGGTAATATGTTGGCATTTAGATTCATTAACTTTAATGCGCCAGTTATTACACCAGTGCTCAATCAAGGTGAGGTGGTTTTGGAGATTTAAGGATGCTATGTTGGGATCAGAGTTGGATGATAAGATTGCGGTGTCGTCAGCGAATGTTGCAAGAAAAGTATCGGGATGAACAGGGATGTCAGCAGTAAAGAGGATGTAAAGCACGGGACCCAAGACGCTGCCTTGGGGAACACCGGCTTTAACGGAGTAGATATTGGAAAATCCTGTTCCACAGCGAACTCGGAAGGAGCGGTCAGAGAGGTAGGATCGGAGGACTAGGTACAAGGACTGAGGTAAATGGATTTTAAGCTTGAAGAGCAGTCCGGAGTGCCATACCCGGTCAAATGCCTGTGCAATGTCCAGAAATGCACCCGAACAGTATTCCTTGTTTTCTAGGGCTGAGGAAATATGATCAACAACTCGGAGTCCTTGTTGAACAGTAGAATGTTGGGAGCGAAAACCAAACTGATGGGAAGGAATATTTTGGGATTCTATAATGGGTAGGATTCGTTTCAACAGGATCTTTTCAAAAATTTTTGAAAGGATTGGGAGTAGGCTAATTGGTCTATAGGATGTTGAGATATTGGGAGGTTTGCCTGGTTTTGGGAAAAGGATAATAGTGGAGTGTTTCCATAGCAGAGGGAAGTAGGTGGTGCGTAGGATACAATTGTAGATATATGTAAGGAATATGACTGCTTTGGGTGGAAGTTGTCGAAGGATTTGAGGGGTAAGGAAATCATGTCCAGGAGCTTTACGGGGGATTAGTTTTTTTAATTGAAATTTCACTTCGGAAGGATGAATAGCTTTTGGGGGCAAGGAAAGTGGGATTGGTGATGTAAGGAGTTCTTCTACTGTTATGGTGTGGGCATGATGGGATTCCGGATGTGAAATAAATGTATTGGATAGGTGAATGGCGAACTCCTCAGCCTTATCTTCGTCAGATGCTGCCCAGGAGCCATCATCTCGTCGGAGGGGATGGGAAATGCGGTGAGGATTTAGGATTTTGGTTGTGGTTTTCCAAAGGGAATTGTCGCGAGAAGAGAGGGAGGATAGGTAGGAGTTGAAGGAATGTGATCTGAAGGTGGCTAATTCCAGTTTTAATTTTTTGCAGTAATAATTATAGGAGCAGCGGTCGGCAGGATTAAACCACCGGATTAAAGTAATATTAAAAAAAAAAATAAATAATACCGTTTACATAAAAATTATCATGCTTTTATTTTATCGAAAAATTGATACATACTGTAAAATATATACCAGGTTTGTACAAATGAAACTGAATTTTTTTGAGGTTTATTGCATTAAAATGTTACAAAATATTACCTATCGCAAGCTGTACATTTTTCACATCACTCTGGTGCTTAATGAATGCCAAGCTAGAAAACCTGATGCGCTTGTGGAAAATAAGTAATAAAAACATTTTGTAGATAGTCACTGACTTCCAAAGCTCAAGATCCCGAATCCGGCTGATGTCAGCTGGTTACTTATTCTATATCATTAGCCGTGGATCGACCCTACAGTCGGGAGAACATCCTAGGTGATTTCGGCCCGATCACATCCCTGCACAACTGTTGGCCTTGAAACAGTAATTCTTTACAGAATACTGAAAGCCAAGGACTCTTCATAGGTTATTGCTGTACAGTTTTTTTTTGTTTTTTATTATTAAAAAAAGAAAAGTGCTGATGAATAAGTGTTAACTCATCGATGCAAATGAGCAGTAGTTAGACCCAGCAAGTATGATTAGTAAATAAGTTGATAAGATTTGACGAGAGATAAGAATTTGCGAGTTTTTAGTAGCTCATATCAGATCATTCCTACGTTTCAAGTTCTCAGTTATCGCCTCATAATCGTAACTTTAGATTTTTTTTATTCAAAAGCACTTTGATTAACCAAGAGCATATTCATCTAAAGCTTTGATAAACATTCGATACGATACTGCATCAGTTTTATTCAAATGGCAACAGAAAACTGATTCCGCCCGAAAATCGTAGTTTGTAGGCTCAAAACTCGACATGTTCAAAATATCAAAATGGTTCTTTATGAAACTATATAACTACGAAACTATGAAACTATGAATTTATGAAACTTGTGAGTTAAGAATCATAGCCAGCTGTCGAAGAATAATGCGCTGTAGCGCTTCCATTAACAACAGCTATCTATGGACGAAATCACATTAACACACCTGATATATATTTATATGTATATTTATGAGAGAAAAAAACAGCATAAATGTTCATTAATTTTGCAACATTACAAGAGTGCTTATTTCACATAATAGTTTTGATTTTTGTACTAATATACTTTTAAATGTTAAATGCATTATACCACTTTTCCTTTCAGACTTCACTTGATTCCAAATGAGAGAAGGACTCAACAATCAAGGCAGAAAAAGAAAACTTGCAACCCATTCTTTGATGAGACATTCGTTTTCCAGGTATAAACACAAAACTAAACATCTGTTTATCGTTATTAGAGTTTATATGAAATTAATAACATTTTAACATTCACTGATACAGGTTTCTGAGAAGGAACTCGCCGACCATTCATTGCGTATGACTGTCCTCGACACCGGAAGGAACAAGAAAAGCAATGTGATCGGTCACGTCACATTTCCGCTTCGCCATCTTGCCACAGAACATCCTACCGATCAGCTGGAACTATTGAAGATGGATCTTGAAAAGGTTGGATTTATCACTTTTCTGCAAAGTAATATACGATTTGTTTCTTCTTTAATATTTTATAAGTATCAAGAATCTTATCCAAATGTTATTCTATAACTGTTCTGAATTATAGAAAAAAAAATCATAAAACGTTTGGGCAAATTACGTTTATGGTTGAGAAGATTAAAATTCACCACTTAATCTAACCCAACTAGGGTAAGCGCATCAATGATGGACATAATTAAGGAAATTTTTATCTTTTTTACCTTAAGCCTCCGTAATTGTTATAATTATAAACTTCTGCGTTGGACATTTAGAGTCTTTGGGGTCTCCTTTATCCATTTAACCTTTTAAAATTGAAAAAAATATTCAACTATGCAGGTATAATCTCCATTTAAAAAAAACAACACATTTTGCACTAGTGATGGACACACCGAACTTCAATTGTTCTATTAATGAACAGGGGGTCGGTACCAGTAATGAACATACCTCAGAAAAATTCTAAATTTTTAATTACTATAGAGATAAGATGAGATAAATGTTCAACGTACTCTTAGCAAAACTGTTAGTAGGAAACAACACAATGATCTCAAGAGCAACTATAGAAACTACAATGATACGCATTTTTAAATTTTAAGTTTATTATTAAAGAATATTTTAAATTACGTTTTTTTTTCTTTTACTGAATTAATTAAGAGAGGATATTTTAATAATACTGGAGTAAGTCAATTTTGTTTTTTATGTAAAAAGTTAATATTTTGTAAATACAATATAGTAATATATGGCATGTATGTCATACGTATCGAACTAAAGTACATATCTTGTGTTCTATAAATATAATATACATTTTATATATAACTTTATACATTTTCTATTCTACTGCCATTTTAACCTCCATAAATGAGATATGTTTCTTTATCTCTTTTTCCAATGAAAAATGAAATAGCAGTGGCGTATAGGCCACTTTGGCATTTCATTAACAGGTAAAACAACAATCGTAAAGGTCTTATTACGAGCAATTATATACAATCCCATTACCGTAAACATATAATCACTCATACACAGTGTGGCAGACGATAATTATATAGTGGACGTCGCATGTGTTAAGGTCCGTTCACGCAAAGCTGATACCAGTAATCTTATGAAGCTTTTAAACACCATTGACACCATTCTAAACGATGTGTAGGCTATTTTCGTTTGTTTTGACAGTATAATACAAGAATAATGGAATTTACATTTTTATATACAGATAATAATATATTATTAAATAATATTCACTAATTTGTGTCATTAAAAATTTGATGTTTCCGTCTTCCATTTAATTTTTATTTAGTTTAAAATTAATTCTGTCAACTTAAGTATAAGTTAATGTTAATTATTATATTTATATACGATTAATATTAAAATTATTGAAGAATTAAATTATTTCATTAAATCTAATTTATATATTTAGAGGAAAAATGTATTTAACGAAATAAGAAGAGAATAAAAGCTATAGATATCGTTGATAAAGAAAGAATGAGAAAACAACAAAAACTTAATAATTAAAAAAAAACAATTAATACTATAGAGCAGTAAAATATATATTTTTTGATAGATGTTTAATAAATTTCTTTTTCATTTTTGGATTGTTTAAATAATGTCTTATAAAGCCGAAATTCTATAGTATGGAGAAAGTGAAACACCTTGTTAAAAGTATTTTTTAATAGGGAAATGAAGTATGTGTGATTAATGAGATCTTATTTGTAAAAACATTAATCGTGTATTATTTATATTGGGTTGGCAAAAGTCCTTTCGGTATTTCAGGGTGGAATAAAAGTCTGGTTTACAGACACAAAATTTATTTTAATCTAAAATATATTTACCATTATTTAATATAACTTTTTCTCAATCTTTTCACTAACTGATTAATGCCATGTTCATGGAATGAGTTTATTGTTAAAAACTGATCCAAGTGTTTTTTTATGTCCTCTTCCTTTTGGAATTTCTTTCCATTTACGGAGTTCTGCAGAGATCGGAATAAGTGGTAGTCACTTGGAGCTAGGTCTGGTGAATAATAAGGAGGGTGGGGCAAAAGGTCCCATCCAAGACTAAATAATTTATTGCGTGTGACCAATGAGGTGTGGGGCCTAGCGTCTTTGTCGAACACAATACCCTTCGGATTATTCATAACTCTTCCAGATGTTCTACAAATTCGATGTTACTATATCCGTTGGAAAGCTGAATTATTGCTCTTTAAAGCCGTATGAATATTTGTTTTAATTAATGCCTAGATAAGGAATAAATAAACAAAAACTCCTTATTGGTTTTTATTTGTTATCTTCATTTGTAGTTTGTTTACAAAGGTCCTGTTGATGTCATTTTGTTTAGTTAATGTGGCCCTAAATTTCTTGTATATAGCTAAAGTCGTATTGAAGTTATAATATTTTTTGTGATTTTCGAATAAAAAATCATGTGAGTGACCGAAATATTAAGCCTGGAAACATAGCCGAGCTTGTGCACATGTTTTTTTAAGTTTTAGGGTTTAGCAATCTCTCGCACTGATTGGGTGGGATTTTGACCAACAATGGCCTTATTATTGCTCATTTCAATTTCATGTGGGCGACCAGACCGTTGTGCATCATTGATGTCAAAATTTCCTTAATGAAACTTGAATTGATATTCCTTAAAATAATTAAAAGCCAAAACAAGGTTGTTTATTATAGGATAGTTAATGTTAACGTTGTTATTAATTTAATTAATTATATATATATATATATATATATATATATATATATATATATATATATATATATATATATATATATATATATATATATATATATATCAAAGTTTTTATGAAATTTCCTTTTTAAATAAATAAATCACAGGATCTATGAGGAAGCAAAGCAATTTTCAAAGAATGCAGAGTTCCATAAACATAATTTCTAAGTGGCGAATTACGAATAACAAAAAAAAATCCTAGAACAAAATAAACGAAAAGTAGATGTATTATCATTCCTTATCAATCTATAGGATGTATTAATTCACAAAGCAAACAGTTAATTGGTTGTTATGGAGTTAGCGCAAAAAACTTAGTTTGACTCAACACAGGAATCCTTGACTCAAAAAGTATTTACGATGAATCCTTAGTATGTTGTGTTTCTCAACAAATAATTTATAATATATATATAATACATACTTTTCTACAAGAAATTATTTTATTTTTTTAGAGCACATGCCAAAAATCAAAGCAACTTCAAATCATGACAGTCTTTATTACAACTTTGTATTCAAAACAATTTTACAAGTATGTAAAATTCATCAAAAACTATTTATGCTCTAGTGCATTATTAGACCTTTTAGATTAAATTCACAAAATTCAATAAAGATAGCACATTACCTGCAGATTATAAAGAAAAATTCCATAAAATAATCATCACATTGACTGAACATCTCCTAATATTCACTGACGGATCTAAAATAGATACGTTTACAGCATCAGTCTTTGTCACCCCTGACGCTACCTATAAATACAAATTAAATCATTTTTATAGTGTTTACATAGCAAAGATTAACGCCATCGCAATGAGTCTCCGATACGTGATGAAGATGCCAGTTGCAAATATGGTTGTGGTATCGGATTCCCTAAGTACCCTGAAAGCCATGAATAACATGTATCTTGACCATCCAGGGATACACTGCATTCTAAATCTTATCAAAATATTTCATGGAGTTGGAACAACGGCACATTTTATCTGGTAGCCTGGCCATATAGGCGTTAAAGTAAACGCAGCAAAAGAAGTTCTTACCCTTCCAGGCCGCGGTAAAGATTTTTTGACGCCATCTGAACTTGCACGACCTCTAAGAGAAACCATATCCCAAGAATGGCAAAGACGGAGGGACAACAGCGCACCTAACAAATTAAAGACAATAAAGAAAGAGGTGCAACAGTGGGCCATCTCCGGATGCAGCAGTCGTAGTGAAGAGGTCGTCCTCAAACGGCTGAGAATCGGACATAGTAGACTGAGACACCTCCACCTCATAACAAAAGATCTTATTCCCAGATGTCAAAAGCATCCCTGGGGAATCAAGAAGAAATCGTTACCAAAGTTATCAAGTTTCTAGATAATTAAACACTAAAAAAAATGACTAATGATCCTTTGCAGATTTATTATTATTTTTTTAAAATTATTTATTTACTTTTAAAAAGTTCGTTTGTTTACTAATTTAAATTAATTTATTGATTTTATTGCTATTTTTAAAGTTTATTTATTTATTTATTCTTTCTTATTATCTATAAGTGTATATTATTATCTTTATTTATTTCATTCTATTAATCCTTTTATTTATTTTTTTTATCCTTTTTTTATTTTTATTTTTTGTACCATCCATCCAAACAGTATAAAAGTAGTGTTATTTAGTTGATCGGGCTCTGATGACCTGGATGTTTTGCGCCTAGACTTCGAAACAAACGAAACGAAATATATAATTTAATAAAGTTAAGCAATTATAAGATCTTTTCTATAATTAAAATAAATATACTAAAACACACATGTGTTTTATGAGTTGCAAACGTTCGAACACATTTCTATGTCTAAGATCCTATTAATATTTGTGGGCACACGTTATCTTCTGGACTAAGTCGCTACATTGAAAGATAGGAAGATAGGAATAAAAATGGTAGCAATCGAACATTGTATGACCCTAATATATTATTGATTTATTGTAGTAAATAGGAAATACGGTTACATCCTAGGTCCTTTCGAAACCCATATTTTCCTAAACGGGACATTTTTCATATGGGATCCTCGTCGTAGGCCTGCCAGCGACAGCTTTTTCTAAGGAAATCTGTCAAGGTTTCTTATCGCTTCCATTCATCTGCCAATACCCTTTCCCTGAATTTCAATTGATTCCTTCCTTACATTCAGTCACTTAACGAATACTAAATATTCGATGCCTAAAATGGTATTTTTTTTTTTTTATTTCAATAAGAATTGATTTGAAAATTAGGAATGTAACTAATATCTGCAACATAAATTTATCAATAGTTGTAGTAAAATTAATCATTATATAAAAACTGTTATAATAAAAATTCACACTTATTTATTTGTCTTGTGGTCAATTCAATATTAATTAAATTACTTTTTTATTACTATTTATTGGACGTTTCGGGTAATCTTCAGCCCCCTCTTCAGCATTCTAAAATACTACTACGAATGTTTTATATGTCCTATCATGAGCCAGTCGCTATTAAATAAAAACATATTATATTTAAAACAATTTTTGACTAAATAAACTTTTTTGGGGGGAGGAGGGAGTTGACCCTCTCCCTCCTCCCCCCAAGTAATTATGATACCATTGAAGTAAATTATGATTTTAACAAATATGTATAAAATAATTTACATTTACTTGGACAAATATTGTTTTTAATTGTCATGTATTTTTTAGTTAGTGGTGACTGGTTTAAGATGAAACCTAAAATATATTAATTGGATATTTTTATATTGCTGAAGAGATGGACAAACATTTCCGGAAACGTTCAATAAACAGTAATCAAAAATTAAAGTTTTTATTATAATATAATTAATTAAAGTTGCGAAAAGATATGTAGAACAAATGTCAAGATTAAAAAATGGAATATTAATAATTTTTAATTCGAAGTTAGTAAGAATACCTTGTTACTTTTTCAATCGCAAATATATGAAAATTTTCAGTATAAAAACAGTAATAATTTCCTTAAATGTCAACTTAGGATTTTATTTTTTAAATTAAAATATACATATTTATATTTTTTAAAAAGAAAACATAGGTAATTTTTTTTTTAATTTTAATGTCTATAAATGTTAAACAAAACTAACACATACTACCAAATTATTGTAGAGATTTATTACAGGCATGTCTTTAATTTACATGATATCCTATTCAAAAATACAATGTTGCATTTAAATAAAAAAGCATTGATTTATAGAGATATAAGTACTTCTGAATTAGAGTTATTTTTCTTCAAATATTCTCAATTTCAAAGCTTTCGTGAGGTCTAAAGATGTGGTTGAGTGACCACATTAAGCACTTGCGTAGGTATTTGAGACTTAAAGCAGTTCCCAACTTAGTCTCCTCAAAGCCTTTGAAGTTGTAGACTTAATAAAGCCTCTCTATGGGCCAGATCTTGTTAATGCCATACTTTATTTTCATAAACCATACTTT